ACCCCTAAACCCTAAACCTCTAAACCCCTAGACCCTAAACCCCTAAACCCCTAAACCCCTAAACCCCGAGGGGGGGGCAGGAGTTCTTAGTGTGTGCAAGGGATGTTTCGGGGCTCAGGGCTGAGGATCCCGAGCTCACGCGTTTGTCTCGGTTGGTTGGTTGGTTTAGGGTTTAGGGTTTACGGTTTAGGGTTTGGCTTGACTGTTTAGGGTTTGGTGTTTGGGGTTTAGAGCTTGATTTGTGAGTTTAGGGTTTAGGGTTCGGGGTTTAGAGCTTAATTTGAGTTTAGGGTTTAGGGTTCGGGGTTTAGAGCCTAATTAGGGTTTAGGGTTTAGGGTTTAGGCTTGAGTGCGTGGGCGGTTTTGTAGGACTTCCCTCACCTGAACTCTGTGTGTTGTTTGGTCTCGTCGCAAAGGCCGCAAGGGCTGTTGAGGTTCGGGCCCAGGAGTCCAGGGATTTCGCATCGAATCTCAAAGCCTTTGTGGATTTCCAACTCTCCGGAGCAGAGGAGTTGCTAGTTTTCATGCTCAAACATGGACGTAGTTTAGAAGAATGCTTCCTCGCTCGTTGATTCAGATGACATTGAGGGTTTATCGCGGGGGACAGAGAAGGTCGCAAGGCGTTTTCTGCCATCTGGCCGACACCGTATGGCTGTGGTCGCTATGGTCGCTTGTTGCTGCCCCTTGCATAACTGGCCCTCCTTATGCGGATGCTCTGTCCAGAAGGATCGTTTGTACGTCTTGAGACACAATAGGCATTCCAGAAGCGAGAGTTGGATGAACTCTCACTGGGCTTCGACTGTTTGTATCATTGTTCTCCAGCACGATGCTACTTGGAGGTTCATGGGTAGTTATAAGTGGGAGTTATAAGTCCCCTATTATAGGTTATAATTATAGTTACCCTACTTATCACCCTACTTATAACTACCCATGAACCTCCAAGTACCAGCCCTTTTTGGCCGCCCAGCACTTTGACTCGCCTGATGCACCAGCTTCTCGCACCGGGCTTGGGGATGCAAGTTTCGTGTTTTGAGATTCGGGTTGACGGTTTCCGGCGGGATTCGGGAGTCCTAAACCCTGAACTCTAAACTCTAAAGCCTAAACCCTAAACCCTAAGCCCTAAACCCCTAAACACTAAACACTAAACCCTAAAACCCTTAACCCTAAACACTAAAGTAGATGGAGTCCATCAATGCTCTCCGTCTGAGCGAGGTGCTCGTTCCGCTGCTGCAATCGCACCCGGCAGAAGGCTCCGACCCTCAGAGTTTCCAACAGAGACTCTTTGGGGGTCAGGATCTAGGTTCGCCTTAGTGATCAGAATAGGGCTTGGGGGATATTATACGCTAGTTATATTAGGGATTAGGTTCCCCAGTAGTACCCTTTCGCCCTTTTTCTTTTTAGGTTCCCTTAATAAAACCAAATAGTAGGAAACCTAAACCCTAAACCCTATTTTTTGGGGGCTACTGGGGAACCTAGGGTTCAGGATTTAGGGCGTAGGGTTCTCGGCTGCTGGTCTGTCGGGTCTTACAAGTTACAATAAGAGTTTGCTGGGGCTTTAGAAAAGGTGTCCACGAGGATGCCATAGTCCTTTTTACGGGCTATTGTTACTAAGAAGTTTATATTCAGATACGATAATAAGGAAGGCGTGTTATTCAGTTTAACAGGTCCATTCATGAATATATCGCGATAAGGCTCTGGAAAGCTCTTATAAGCCACACTTTCTTGTCGCGTTCGACCCTTACACATGCCATAATGAGCCCTTATCAAGCCCTTTATGAACTCAGTCTTACAAGGGTGCTGTGGCAGACGAAGGCTTCTTTCAACAGCGCTTCTATTAAGGGATGCCTTATTCAGGGGTCCGTGTAACGTAGGAACCATGCTCAGTCTTGAGAATCAATCATGTTTGGGGTTATATTGTTTACCCCACGAATTCTACGACTTTACAGGCTGCCGTATTCCCTGAACTCTACGCCCTAGGCCCTAGGCCAGCCCAAGCCGCAAGAGCCTCAGCAAAAGCTGAAACAACAGGTGCAGATGTCAC